CGCATGCCACACCTGCGTTCTTATCTGGGTTCAAGTATGTCTTTATCTGGGCGGCCACTTCCTCGGCCGCACTGTTTGCCCGATCAACAGAGTAGGATAAATCCTTCGCAGAAACTTTCTTCTTTTTCCCTTTTCGTGAACTCGAGCCCGACTTCCTCTTCTCGCCGCTACGAGGTCCACACAAATTACCATCAGATGTACAGTGCCCCTCGGCAAACTCGTTACTAGACCCAGTGCTCTCCCCATCCACGGGGATCGCATCCCTCAGGTCCTCCGCTGCACTGTCTTCGAACAAACCGAAGCCCGTACTACACAACTTGGTGGGGGTTACTGCGTACCTATCCTCATCGTAGCTATATCCGAAAAGCTGTTGATATTTGACGTAGATATCACTGATATCTTTATCCTTGAAATCCTTGTAATCTTTGTTTTCCTGCAGCCACAGAAATACCCCAATTTATTCAAGCACAAATAACTTGTACAGCGGGGGGGCCATATGTACCTTTATTTTCCTGTTCCACCATTCCTCGGATGCCATTATACGGCCATTGGATGGGTTGTACTCAACCCCGGTACAAGACAGTAGTTCGGAAAGCCTTTTGTGCTCCCGACGCATTGCATCCCAGTGGTTGCGAAGTTGAACTTTGGTCCAATTGTGGCCGGATATGGAGTTGAACAAGGTGACGACACGATCCCAGCCAAATTTCGTGAAACACTTGCCATGTCGATGCCCTTCGGCGATCGCAGTTTCACAGGCGGCTATGAAACAGCGTTTCTCGGCTTCTCGCCATTTCGCATATTTTTGGGTCGCTTCACCAGTGGATGAGTCGGTAACTGGAACGGACGAACCAACCTGGTCGTAGTTCGCTGACTGCAGGGAGATTTAGATCAACCACAGGAAGAACAGGAAACTGAAAACGAAAAGAAATCAGGTGTGCCCATCAAAGGAATACCTGTGAATTGAATGGGAACATGGCTATGGAATGCTGATGTTGGTTGAAATCTCGTCCCCTTCAATTGGAACGTGTGAAACCAGCCTGTTCTTCGTCGAAGTCTCGTCCCCTGCAGCAAGTGAACACTCTTCAAATGCAACTACCAATTGATTTTTATGAGGAGAAGGCAAAATTTCAGGTGGCAACAACCAAATGAACCACTGTTATTAACAGTCAGGGTAATGCAATAACGGATCCAAAGTATCGACTGACACAAGAAATGCATTTCTGGACATCGATTGTTTTGTGAAAAAGGGGAAAATTGAGTATTCTGATAAATTTGGCAACAAGCGTTGGAACGCTCCACAGTTATGGTCATGCAGAGAATCATCAATTTCATCTAGTTACATGAATCAAAGTGCTGAAAAGAATTAACCGGAACATGTATTATCATCAATTACACAAATTTCATCTACTGAACTACGTGCAGGACCGTTTAGAAATATCTGATCTTCGCAAAAACGAAGGAATACTTGCCTGAAAATGCTATGACTCCGACGGATTTGCAGCAGACCGAAAGGGAGAACCTGATCTTCACACCGTGAGCAAAGCGACAACTACTCGTGATCTTCGCTGCAGGTTGTTCGAAACAAAATTAAGACGGCGGGGTCGCAAGGTAGTGCTGAGTAATTTTTCAGAAATACCTGGTGCACTTGAGAAGCTTGTCCCTGCGTTGTAGTGTATTAATTCTGCACTTGAGAAGCTTGGCCCCTTTTTTCTTCTGCACCGTCGTTGTGTGGAGGAAGATGGTAGGTGAGAAGGGTAGATGAGGAAAAGGGAGAGGATAGAATGGGCAATTACTGTTGGTAACGGGTGAAAGTGGAGTAAATGACCTGAAAACTGTCAGTCGTCACTGTTGCTAATAGGTAAAATTTTTCTACAAGTTGGGAAATAAGATGCACCAAACAGGGACTTACAGAACAAATCTCCGTTTCCTTTTATAGAAAAATTCCTTAAAAAGAGTAGCTTTTTATCTACCTCTTCCTCTTGGAATCAGTTCTATAGTCCTTTCGACGGGAACGAACATATATCGAAAGTACACAGTAAAGCTATCATTTAGCTCGATTTTTTTCTTATCCCTTTGTTCTGGGACACGGGTTTTCTTCTAAATCATTTTCACTTAATTATAAGTATACGCTTTATGTTCATTGGTTACGAGGATATGAATCGGAGCTGGGTTTTGGTTTGTGGTTCTTCGGGTGATTTGATTCGCCGTTTGGTTGGTGAGTTCTAGGATTTTTGTGGGGGCGCTGCCTTTGCTGATTGATTAGCTTTTTGGCCTTTTCTCTGAAATTAAGTTCTGCTGTTTACCGCCCTGAAAGTTTCTGAATCTCTGAGGTCATTCTTCAAAGTTCTTCTCTTTATTTCTCCTGTATATAATCATATATACATCTTTGTATCTGTGAGAGTAAGGGGAGAATGAGTAACTTCATATCACGGGTATTGATGGGTTTTGTTTAATTGAAGTGAATTTGACTTGATTGGGGGTGTGAGCTGAAGAATTTGGGGAAAAGGGGTAGTTTATGTGAACGCCTGAACATGATAATGAGATATTTGGTAAATGGTGCTCAGTATGGAAGGAATTTCGAGCAATAGATATCAAATTAAGTGGCTTGAAAGTTCTTTAGTATTTGGAGATTTAACTTGTTTGGGATACTATTTGTTTTCTGGTCTTTTGATTGAGATGGAGTACCCTTTTTCGAATAAAGAGAAGAATACTGGATATTGGCCTTCACCAAGGGGTCAGATGGAGGGTATGGATATGACATATATGGAGAATGGCACGCGGGGCTCTAATTTGGATGGTTCATTTAGTAACATTGCAGAATTTATGAATGTTGATTTGAATGGGGGATGGTGCAACAGCCCCAATAACGTTTCAGATCACTTGTTTCCCTCTTTTGCAATATCGCCTCATAATTCGACAGTAACAAATTTTGTGCCTTTCAATGGGATGAACTTCACAGAGCAGTACAGTCCCAGGGTGCCCATGGTAGAAGGTGATATTGTGGGAAGCATGTCTAGTATGGGAGACAAAATGCTGCTTCAGCCAATGCACAGCCAATTAAATTTCCCAGTGGATTCTGCTAGTAATGGGGTTGATGTAAGCCAGAGGAGAGGTAATAGCTCAGCCCAGCAGACTGCGGTTTCTGAAATAGGACATATTACAATCCCTAGACTTCCTTCACAGTCCTTGGCTGAGAAAATGCTCAGAGCATTATATCTATTTAAAGAATGGTCTGGAGGGGGTATTTTGGCCCAAGTTTGGGTTCCAATAAAGAATAGGGATGGGTACATCTTAAGCACCAGTGAACAACCTTATTTACTTGACCAGACACTTTCTGGTTATCGTGAAGTGTCTAGGTTTTTTACTTTTGCAGCAGAATCAAGACCAGGTTCTTTCCCAGGGCTTCCTGGCCGTGTCTTTACCTCGAAGATACCAGAGTGGACGTCAAATGTGGCGTACTATAATAAAGAAGAGTACTTGAGGGTTCAATATGCGATTGATCATGAAGTCCGCGGATCTGTTGCCTTACCTGTGTTTGAGGATGATTCACCTGCAAGGTCGTGTTGTGCAGTCCTAGAATTGGTTACTGTGAAGGAGAAACCCAATTTTGATTCGGAGATGGAAAATGTGCGTTGTGCCCTCCAGGTTAGTTTGTCAGTTTGTTTTATTCTTTTTCAGCATCCTTTTTACCATTTCTTGCTTGTTCTACTGGTAGGAGACCTGAACCTTGAATATTGTCATGTTCCATGATGTTAAAGAAAGACAAACAGGAGAAAGATAAACCATTATAATAGGATTGTTATTTAAATATCATGTGGAGCTGCTGATTTGGGCGCCAAGGAGTTCTCAGTGTTTGGAGCCAAAAATCATGGATGTATCTCTTTGTGAATTATTTTTGTATATGATCAAATTTACTTCCTTGCCAACATTCTTTCACTAAACAATGTAAAAGTGATATGATGATGGTTATTGATGCTCTATATATGTGCCTCTTCTACCTTCAACTTTAAGAAATATTTCTTTCTTTCTTTCTTCAGTTGGGGTGGGGTGGGGTGGGAGTCTCTTTTAGAGTGGAAAGAATGAGAAATCTGGTTATAATAAATAATGGAGGGGTTACAGGCATCTACTTGGGTTTAATCATTAACTAACCTGTAAAGGACTTCCAAGTTATTTTAAAGCAGACAACCCAAAACTTATATGTTCGTCTGAATTCTCCCAAGTTTCGTACAATTTGGGATGTTATGATAGCTTTCAAAGTGGGAAGCATGAGAAACATGGCTATTTACATCACTATTATTATGTTAATACAAAATACCTTAAGAGTGGTCGTTTGGTGTTTTGCTTTTCATAGGCTTTTAAGTTTCACCATCTCTTATTTATTAACCACTTAATCCCACTGCACACCCTATCCCAACGAAAGAAGACTATCCACTTAAAAGTAACTTCCAAAATCCATTAAAAGATCACCAAGATGAACCAATGTTGTCCTTTCTTGCCAACAAATTGTAAATGAACCAATGTTGTCCCTTTCTTGCCAAAAAATTGTAAACACCAAACATAATTTCTGGATTTCAATGCTCAATTGTAAATATTTTTTTGTGAGGCACACAAATTTCAGTTTGTTCAGATAGTCCAATAGTTATTAGTAAGATAGCTTTCAAAGTGCGAAGCAGAAGAAACGTGACTATTTACATCACTACTATTATATTAATACAAAATAGAGTGGTTGTTTTGGTGTTTCACTTTTCATAGGCTTTTAAAGTTCACAATGTCTCTTTTATTAACCTACCCATTAATCCCACCCCACAATGGGAAAAGACTATCCACATAAAAATAACTTCCAAAGTCTGTTTAAGATCTCCAAGATGAACCAATGTTGTCCGTTTCTTGCCAACAAATGTAAACACCAAACAAGATTTCTGGATTTCAATACACAATTGTATACATATTTTTTTTTTGTGAGGCGCACACAATTCAGTATGCTCAGATAGTCAGATAGAACTTCTCATGGAATTGAATCTGTAATCATGCACCATTATCGGACCTACATTTGGGCATTATGGCTTCTTCACGTAGTATTCTGCTACGTCTTTGCAGAAGCAAGCTAATTTTTTGGTACCTGCTTATGTGATTGTCAACCTTCTGTGTGAAATGAAGGGAACAATTAACTCGGCTCTATCTAGTTCATTCATGTGACATTGATTTGATAGTTTCTTTCTCATCACAAACTCCCTCCCCCACCCCGATTTTGGCAGGAAAAGGGTTTACATACATAAGAGTGACTTGGGTGTATTTCTTTTCCTTCCCCACGAAAAATAATATTTTTTTATGTCAGCGTGAGGTACTACTAACATTTTATGAACATATGCAGGCAGTGAATTTAAGGAGCACTGCCCCTCGACTCTATCCCCAGGTAATTTTGATATCAAAGGGAAAATATACAATAGAAAGATCACACGTATGAATTATTTTCCTGTTCTTATGTTTACGTTTATCTAAAATTATCTGTTAATTTGCAGTGTCTTTCAAAGAATCAAAGGGCAGCTTTAGCTGAGATAACTGATGTTTTACGAGCTGTTTGCCATGCGCATAGACTGCCTCTTGCTTTGACATGGATTCCTTGCTGTTACAAAGAGGGGGCTGATGATGAAACTACAAGAGTACAAATTAGAGGATGCAACACAAGTTCTGATGAAAAATGCATACTGTGCATTGAGAGTACATCCTGTTATGTGAATGATAGAGCTATGCAGGGATTTATGCATGCATGTAAGGAACATCATCTTGAGGAGGGACAAGGTATTGCTGGGAAAGCTCTACGATCCAATCACCCCTTTTTCTATTCTGATGTAAAGGAATACCACATAAGTGAGTATCCTCTTGTTCACCATGCCCGGAAATTCGGCCTAAATGCTGCTGTTGCAATTAGGTTAAGAAGTACATATACTGGTGACGATGACTATATACTAGAGTTCTTTCTCCCTGTCAATATGAAAGGGAGTACAGAACTGCAGCTATTGCTAAATAACCTCTCCAGTACAATGCAGAGGCTCTGCAGGAGTTTGAGGACAGCGTCAGATGCAAAATTACTTGGGCTAGAATCTAAGGTTGGACTACAGAAAATGGAAGTTCAAAGCATTCCACTGAGTTCATCGTCCAGGAGGAGCTCTGAACAGTCACTGATAGATGGCAATTTAAACTCTGGTGATCAGTTACCCCTGAATGTATCAGATTCAAAGACTACTGGAATGGATACTAACGGTCCTCTTGACCAGGTACTTCTGGATTTACGCTCGTTAAATTGCTAATGTTGAATCTC